GCCCGAGCTGCTGCTGCTGGCGCTCTGCGCGCTCGGCTGGACCGCGCTGCGCTCGGCGGCCACTTCGCGCCTCTTTCGGGTCAGTGCTGCTAGGGGTCGGACATGGGGGCCCCAGGCTGGGAGGCTGGGGTGTTAGGGGTTCGCGGGACGGGGATCCTAGGACTCCGCGCGCCCCTTTCTGTTTCTGCGGGCCAGGATCACTGGAACATGAGGGCCCTTGCGCTGGAGGAGCGCGGGACGCAGAATCGTGGGCCGCTTCGTGCCCCTTTTGGTCGGTGCAGGGTGGGGTGGGGGTGGATGCGGGGGTGTGGCCGAGCTGGGGGAAGCCTGGGACTTGGAGACCCCGACACGGGAGGGATATTCAAGATGTGGGGGAACCGGGACACCACCCATTCCGGTCAGTGCGGGACAAGGGGGCCCCGGGCAGTGGGAGGGCCTGAGCTGCCGCGCACTCTTTTGGGCCCGGCGGAGCCGTGAACCGAGGAGCGGAGGACGCGGGCGGGGAGGGCTCGGCTCAAAGGGCCCGCCTGCGCCTTGCTCCCCTGGGCCATGCGCGGAGGGCTCAGAATCCAAGCGGTGTCCCGGGTCCGTGCGGAGGCTGGACCGGCTTGTCTGCTGCTACCGGGAAGAAGCAGGAGCTGCCCGGTCGCTGCCGCGGGCCTGTCTGGAGTCAGCGCCACCCTCTGACCAAGGGATGCAAAGGCCTGGGCTCGCCGGCCACGCCGTGGTCGCCGCCTTTGGGAAGGTGGCACGGCCTGGGTCTTCTAAGTGGGGCCTGCAAGCGGTCGCGACCAAATTGTTCAGTTTCCAGCGAGCCTGGGGAGGCCACCGTCCCGGTCGGAGAGTGACTGTGGGGGTGACATTTGCTCCTAGCCTCCCTCCCATCCATGGGGAGGGGTCGCTGCTATGGGAGCTTGTGGCAAAGCGTTTGGTCTCCTGGCTTGGCTGTGACTCCCCTGTGGACCGGCTGCGGTCACTCCGCCAGTCTGACTGGAGGTGGCAGGGGGTGCAGGGACAGAGCGCCGGGAGCCAACAAAGGGGCCTTTCTCTGCTGGCTGGGAAGAGGCCGGCCCTTGTTAAGTAGGGGTTGGGGTGTTGTCTGGCTGCCATTGTCCCCACCCCCACCCCCATATCACCCACATTGGGTAGAAAGACCCCAGCCACCACCCTGCTCCAGGGAGGGGGAAGCAGGCATGATAAGCGCCTCTCCGTAGGTCAGCCCTGGTCCCAATCTGGCTTTGTTGCTCCCCCCACCAGCTGGGAAGTGGGAGGCCCAGGAGAACGAGGACCAGAGCCCAGGAGGGGGATGTGGTCGCCCTGGAACTACCAGGGTGCAGCAGGCTTCCTCCCCATGTTCCTGAGGGAGCCGGGTGGAGGACAGCAAGGTCACAAGACCCTCACTTTTGGAGCCTTCGGAGGTCAGGCACTCACTCCAGTTAGAAGCTCGCCCTTCCCAAAAAACGGGCGGAGGGGCTGCCTAGTCTCCAGAGCTCATCTCCTTGGCAGCCGCCTGGTTGTCAGGGGTTACCGAAGCTGGCTCTGGCTGTCTCCATGGCGACTGCTGGTGCTCCGGCCCCCTCAGCCTCGCCTAGGGGAAGGGGGCGGGGCTTGCCCCGCAGCTCTGGAGCCTCGACCCCAGGGAAATTGAGGCTCCGCCCCCAGGGGCGCTGAGCCCCTCAAATTCCTCCATGCCTCACAATTTGCAATGCCTCTACTTCCCTTGTGTCCTCTCTGATGTCCCTCAGGTCCCCCATCTCATTGTGATGTCCTTTACTGGACCTATTCCCTTTCTCCCTCCGCCCCGTTCTCTCTTCCTTTGTCCCCCTGCGTTCCCATGTCCTCCCCCACCTACCCACCCCGTCTTCCCCAACCCTCTGTTCTCTGGTCTCCCCAAATTCCTCCTCTGAGGCACCTCAAGTTTCTCCTCCATGGGGGTCACGTGGAGTTCCAGCCCCCTACCGCGCCGTGTTCCCCCAGATGCCTCCATATTCCCCTCCATGTTCTCTTCACAGATTCACCCCCACAGCCCCTTCCAAGTCTTCCGTTTAATCCTCCCTCCTCCCTGTCATACTTCTAGCTCCCCCTGTGACCTCCCAAGCCCCCTACTCCACTGGGCCGACCCCACTGGTCCCCCTTGCTTTACACCCACTTGTCCCCCTCCTCCCTCACATTTCCTCTCAGGTCTCCCCCATCACTCCCCTCCGCACACCGCTGTGGCTGGACAGCTGGGCACTAAGTTTAGCCCTTGGCAGGCACACGTGGGCTCTGGTTACGTTCCAGGTGGCTGTGGGTACCGGGCCTGGTCCTCCCCGACACTGTCTGGCCTGGGGAGTCCCCAGACCTTGATTTCCCTACCCTGCAGGGGCAGCCCTTGGCCCCTAGTGCTGATGGCCACCCGCCTTCTCACCCATAGCCCCTAGCCAAGCGGTGCCGCCTCCAGCCTAGAGATGCCGCCAAGATGCCTGAGAGTGCCTGGAAATTTCTCTTCTACCTGGGCGCCTGGAGCTACAGCGCCTACCTGCTCTTCGGCACTGACTACCCCTTCTTTCACGACCCGCCCTCCGTCTTCTATGGTAGGGGACCTGCCGGGATGGGGCAGGTTATGGGAGGGCTCGGTTCTAAACTCAGAGAAGAGTACATGGGGGAACGAGACACTCATCAGACATCCCACGCTGGATGTCTGCTTTGAGACAAGGGTGATCCCAGGGCCCTGGGGCCGGGTCAGAGGGCACCCTGTCAGGGCTCAGGGAGACATCCTAGAGGAGGACATTCCTGAGGTGGTCCAGGAGTCAGGAATAGGACATGCCAAAGCCCTGGGGCTTGCATGAGCTTGATGTGTGAGGATGAGAGGAGGGGCAGGAGTTTGAGTTTCATCATAATGGGATGGGTTTGTGAATTATAAAAAACATCCTCTGGCAGCCAAGTGGAGACAGATGAGTCTTGGGAAAGGAGGGAAGCAGGGCCCAGGGGGTAGGCGAGAGACCATTGTGGCTTGGACCAGCTTGGTGAGGAGATAAAGATGGTGAGAAGTGGCTGCATCCATTGGTTGGTTTGGGTGTGGGGATCGTTGAGGCCTGAACTCTGGGTGGGATGGACAGGAAGGGGTCTGCAGTGTCCTCTGTCACCAGCCAGCAGGTGGGTGTAGAAAACTTGGTCTGTGAAGAGGGGGTCAGGCTTCTCTACCCCAGTGCTGACCACCCAGGCCATGTATCAGGGACACACATCCTTCCTGCTATGTGATGGAAGCATCCCAAGAGGTCTGCGGTGGCACTATCGGAGGGCTAGCTAGGCAAGGAACCCCCGAGCTGCACCTGTCTGTCTTTGTGGGACCACACTGCCCACATGGCCACGTTTGCCATGTAACACATACACATTTCTGGTGTCGTAAATCCCTGGAGGGGAGGTTTCAGCTGTCATTCAGTTTTCCTTTATGAGAATGAATTGTACATAGTTGAATTCTCTCAAAGTTTAGGGGATGGAGGTGCCTCTGGCTCCTTTTTATAAATGATGCTATAATAACACAATTGCACATTAACTGCTTCTTTGCATCCGCATATATTGAGCACTGACTGTGTACCAGGCACTGTGCTGACACAGCTGTGAGCAGCTCAGAGAAAACCCCCCCACCCCTGTGTTCTTTTATTCTTATATTTTTTTAATTTTTAAAAGGGAGAGGTAATTAGGTTTATTTATTTTTCAATGGAGGTACTGAGGATTGAACCCAGGACCTCATGCATGCTAAGCAGGCACTCTACCACTGAGTTGTACCCTCCCCTACACCCCTGTGTTTTGGGGGGACAGATAATGAAATACAGTCTGTTCATGGTGATAAGTGTGGATGAGACAACTTGAGTGAGGAGAGGAGAGGAGAGGAGAGGGGTGTCTGGGAGGTGGGGAGGAAGGCATTTTCTACAGGGGTGGGGATGTTCCCACCTTAGGTGACTTTTGAGTGGGGACTTGGAGGAGCCAGGAGCAGATAGGAAATGCAAAGGTCACTGTCGGACAGACAGACTACTGGCTGTTCAGAAGCAGCCAGGAGTCCAGTTGGCCGTGGTGGGGACAATGGAGCTCTTTCCCAGAGGGCCGAGAGCGGGGGAGGGGGGACGCTGACAGGATGATTAGAGGAGAGGGCTGAGGACCAGAGCCAGGGGGCTCTGACCATGTCAGGGCCAAAGTGGGGAGAGAAGTGGCTGATTGAGAAATGTTCAGAAGATAGAATTGATAGGATTTGCTGCCAAACCAGAGATGGCTGTGAGAGAGAAGGGGAGGGGTTAGGGCTGATGCTGGGGTCTAGGAGACTGGGGGTCGGGCAGATTGGAGGGAGACTAGGAGCTGGGTTTGGGACACCCAGGGGGCTGACTCCAGAGGTCCAGGAAGGCGATGAGGCAGGGGTGACATGGAGGGTCCAGAGCAGCAGGTGGGGTGTGTGTAGAGAGGAGGTTGGAGGTCCACAGACAGAGCCCAGCCCCTTAATGTGCAGGGAGGTGCAGATGCCACCGTCTGGCGGGGAATTATCTATTCCCCTCCTTCCTCTGCCCTAGATCTGGGGACCAAAGGTGGAGGCGGGGGCGCTCCCCACTGTAACAGTCTTGCCAGCACAATAGATGGAAAAGTTGGTATCCCGTTTCCACAGAAAGGTGCCTCTGCGTCCCTTCCCTCTAAAGAGGGACAGAGGCATCTGGCAGGTTGGGGGACCTCCGCTGACAGCAGTGCTGGCATGTACCTGCGTGCAGAACTCGGGGGGTGGGTCTGGCCGGGAGGGTGGGTTTTGCTGCTGACCCTTGGGGAGCCCCGGACCTGTTAAAGTTGGGGGTGAGTGATCTGTATGGTGTTTTATACTTTTTTAATTAGGTAAAATTTATGTAACATAGAAGTAACCATTTTCCCCATTCACAAAAAGACAAATACTGTATGATTTCACTTATATTAGGCACCTAGAGTCTTCAGATCCCTAGAAACAGGAAGTAGCCTGGTGGGTGCCAGCGGCTGGCAGAACGGGGACAGAGAGGGAGTGTTTAATGGGGACAGAGTTCCAGTTTTACAACATGAAAAGAATTTTGGAGATGGGTTGCACGACAATGTGAATATACTAGTGCTACTGAACTTAAAAATGGTCAAGATGGTGAATTTTCTGTCATAAGTATATTTTACCACAATTTTGAAAAATTCACCATTTTAAAGTGAGCAGTTCAGTGGCATTTTGTACATTCACAGTGTTGTGCAAGCACCACCTCTATTTCCAGAACTTTTCCATCACTCCAAAGGGAGACCTGTCCCCATGAGCAGTCACTCCCCATCTGTCCTCCCCCAGCTCCTGGCAACCACTAATCTGCTTTCTGTCTCTGTGGATATGCCTGTTCTGGACATTTCGTGTATGTGGAATCATTGGTACGTGATTACATGTGACCATTTGTAACTGACTTCTTTCACTCAGCAGAATGTTTTTGAGGTTCATTCCCCTTGTAGCTTGTCAGTGCTTCCTTTTTGTGGCTGCATAGTGTTCCATTGTGTGAGTGTGCCACATTTTGTGTACCCATTCACCCGCTGAGGGACATTTGGGCTGTTCCCCTTTTTATGATTGTGACTAGTGCTGCTGTGGACATGGGAGTACAAGGAGCTGTTGAGTATCTGTTTTCAATTCCGCTGGGCACAGGCCAGGAGTCTACTTGCCGGGTCATGGGGTCTGTGTATTCACAGCCATCAAGGCTGCTGTGGGGAGAGTGGACAGCCGAGAACAGGCTCTGGAGGCCAGGAGAAGCTGGGGCTGTGCTGGGCAGGAGATGGCAGTACCTGGACCAGGGTGGGGGGGTCGGGGGGAGCAAATGAGTGGAGGCGTGGAACAGAGATGGACTCCTGAATGGGGTCCAGGTGAATCACCGTTGCAGGAGGGGCCAGGGCAGAGATGAAGGATGAAGGGCTGTCACTGAGGTGGCAGCATAGGAGGCATCTAGGTAACAGCCAGGCTCCAGGGAGTCTGGCACCCAGAACAGGGTGTCTTGAGAAAGCCTGGTAAGAGAAGATGGGAAGGGGGCTGGGGCAGAGTTGGAAATTCTGCAAAGGACCAATTTCAGGAGTAGGAGCTCCTTGTTCTAGAGATCTAGAACTGTTCTTAAAAAAATGTCTATTCATAAACAACAATGGGTAGAGAACTGGCAGCAGGAAACCAGCGACTAATGCACCTGCAGAGATATGCAGCATGCCCGGCTCGATGGGGTGGCATGTGGGATTGCTTGGGGATGCCAGAGGCTTTGCAGGTCCCTGACAGCACCTGCTGTCTGGCTCTCCCCAGACTGGAAGATGGGGATGGCAGTCCCACGGGATATCGCAGCCGCCTACCTACTACAGGGAAGCTTCTATGGCCATTCCATCTACGCCACGCTGTACATGGACGCCTGGCGCAAGGACTCTGTGGTCATGCTCATCCACCACGTGGTCACCTTGGTCCTCATTGTCTCCTCCTATGCTTTCCGGTGAGTCCAGGAGGGGACAGGAAGGTGGAGGGCACTGGTGTGAGCAGTGACAGGAGGCTGGCACAGGGCAGAGGCTAATGCTTGGCAAGGAGTGGGGGGGTTCTGGAGAGTGACTCTGGAATGATGGGTGAAACAGGTGCAGAGAGGCGTCACCCTGTTCCCACACCATCCATCCCCCTCCCACCCCGCCTGGATGGCACCCTTGGCCAGGTCACATAGCAAGTGTTTACTGAGCACCTGCCATGCAGCAGGTGCTGCTGGGGGCACAGCCGTGAACACAGTAGACAAACCCTGGCATTCTAGAACCCACTGTGGCCACGACACATGGTCACAGAGCTCCAGGCAGAGCCTGTCCAAACCACGACCTGCTGGATGTGTAAAATCCATCCTGATCCCAAGGGCCAAGGAGAGTGAAAATATTTTGCAGTCTCTCTCTCTCTCTTTTTTTTTATTGAGTTACAGTCATTTTACAATGTTGTGATGTAGTCTCTTTGTTATATTATGAAATGATAATAGTTTGGATATACTGAGCTAACTAGAATATATTATCGAAGTTAATCTTACCTCTTTCTCTGTACTTTTTTAAAAATGTGGCTGATAGAAAATTAAAACGACATATTCAGTTCCTATTGGACTAGCTGCTCTAGCTGCACCCTCTAGCGCAACAGCCACTGACCACAGGCAGCTGTGTCCATTTTAATTAAACTTACATGTTTTGTTGGGGAGGGAAAAGGGAAGGGGGAGGTAATTAAGTTTATTTGTTTATTTTTTAAGTGGAGGTACTGGGGATTGAACCCAGGACCTCGTGTGTGCTAAGTACGCTCTACCACTGAGCTGTACCCTCCCTCCTAATTAAACTTAAATCAAATCCAACATTCTGTTCTTCAGCCCTACTCTGTGGCTGGTGACTCCTGTATTGGGCAATGCAGACTTAGAACATTCCTATCAATCTTGAAAATTCTATTAGACAGCCCTGCTCTAGAGAGTAGAACCAGATATCATCCTCCCTTCCAAAAAAGCCCGTGAAATAAAAGCACTAACAATTTGTTTGGAGGTGATAACTATGGAAGAATAAAGTCAGAAGAATAAAGTCAGAAGGTAAGGGCTGCGGGGGTGGTCAAGGGTGAAGGCTCCGCAGTCAGGAGCCTGAGCTGTCAGGAGGGCAGAGTAGGGATGGAGACTGACAGGTGCACAGCCCTGCCCAGGCTGAACTCAGGCCCCTTGGCCCAAGCAGCTGTGAGGCAGAAAGCTGGCGAGGGCGGGGCTCTTCCTTAGATCCTGGTGGGGATGCGGCCTTCTCCAGGCAAGTCTGCAATTGGCAGCAGTGTTTAGGCTAATTGTATAAACCGGGGAGTGTCAGCGTGGCAATCAAGTTTAAAGTGTGGGGTATCTGGACACAGAATGGCCCAGGCCTGTGAGGGTCAGGGGTCATGGAAGGTCACAGGTTACAGAGATGAGGAAGGATCAGTGAAGGCGCTTCCAGGGAGATTCCTGAGTCACTTTGAGGTCAGTGAGACGGGAAGGGTGATGGCCTGGATGGGGCTGCCACAGGGCAGGCACAGCCTGGGTGCTGCTGCTGACACAGCCCCATGAGTGCGTGGGCAGGGCAGGTGGGCCGAGGAGGATGGCTCTGAACGGGCCCGTGGGAAGCCTAGAGGGGCAGCCAGAGGGGCCTGTGCCTGGGAGCCTCGGTGCGGATAGGAGACCCAGTATAACCAGACTGCTCTCCTCTCCTGCTTCTCTCCCCAGGTACCACAAGGTGGGCATCCTTGTGCTCTTCCTGCATGACATCAGTGATGTGCAGCTGGAGTTCACCAAGCTCAATATCTACTTCAAGTCCCGCGGAGGATCTCACCACCGGCTGCACGCGCTGGCCGCAGACCTGGGCTGCCTCAGCTTCAGCCTCAGCTGGTGAGCGTCAGGGCAGGAGGGGGCCTAGTGGAAGGGGCAGCCACCAGGTGGAGGTGGGCGTGGCCAAGCAGGGAAGTGGGTGGAGCTTGGTGAGGTGGGCGGGCCTGGGAGGGCAGCAGAGTTGGGAAGAAATAGGTTGGACAGGAAAGGACAGAGCCGGCTTGGAGGCACATGGGCAGGAATGAACAACGGTCGTGTGGTGACATCCATTGGATGAGTCCATGTGGGACAGGACAAGGCCTGGGAGGGGCCACCTTCCCCCTCTCCCCCATAGCCTCCCCAACCCGCTCCCTCCCTCCTGCAGGTTCTGGTTCCGCCTCTACTGGTTCCCGCTCAAGGTCCTGTATGCCACGAGCCACTGCAGCCTGCGTGCCGTGCCTGACATCCCTTTCTACTTCTTCTTCAACGCACTCCTGCTCTTGCTCACCCTCATGAACCTCTATTGGTTCCTGGTGAGTTGATGCCAACCCCTCGCCACCCCCGCCCCCTTGGACTGCAGTCCCGTCCTGGTCCCCGATCCCCAGGAGCCGTGCAGGGGCAGGCCCTTCTCAGGTGTACCCGGGGTGGGGCATATTGGGCAGGGCAGGAGCGCACGGCTGGCAGGAGGGCAGCGCGGTCGGGGAAGGGGTTCTCTTCTCACCTGTGCCCTCCCCCTTCCCCCACAGTACATCGTGGCTTTTGCTGCCAAGGTGCTGACAGGCCAGGTGCGCGAGGTGAAGGACGTGCGGGAATACGATACAGCAGAGGCCCTGAGCCCCAAGGCCGGCAAAGCTGAGTGAGTGTGGAGGGGCCGCCCCCCCTGCTTCATTCCTTTAGCCACGTCTGTCTGGCCAAGCGTGTTTGTGGGCAGCCCCAGAGAGCTGGCAGCGAGTGAGGCCGATGCGGATGCTGCCCACCTCCCTGCCAGCCTACATCCAAAAGAGAGACTGCAAAAAGGTGTGGACGATGCTGTAGCGACAGAGTAGACGCTGTCAGGGCAGACAGCAAGGAAGGTGGGGTAGAGAGGTCTGGGGGTCAGGGCGGAGGGGTGAAAGGGGAGGATCAGGGTCTCCATAGAGGGAGCCCTGAGGTCCAAGCCCCATCACGAGGAGCAGCCAGGCCTAATGGCAGCCTCCTAGCAGGTGGCTAGCAGGTGGCAGTGGAGGTGAGGGTGAGGGGGTGCCGTGTGCAACCCAGAGAGCCCTCGCTCTGTTCATGCTGATGCTCTCTGGCCTCAAGGTCCAGCAGGGCAACCGCTGCTCAGCCAAGCAGAAGAAGGGGCTGAGACCCAGTCCAACCCAGGTAGGAGTCTTAGGGGTGGAGAGGAAAGGTGGCCTCGAGCATCTGGGAGGTAGCACCCTCGGGACTGCCAGCCCCAGGTGTGCCAGATGGCGTCCAAAGCCTCAGGAGTGAATGGAGGCGGGTTTGGATGACCGACAGGGTGTGAGAGGTGGCTAAGCAGTCGGGAGGTGGAGGTGCTATCCAGCAGACCCTATGTTTTGGCCTCTGGGAGTTCATCAGTGACCAACCTGGGAAAAGTGATTTCCGGGAAGCAATGGGTTCAGAGCACAACGAGGAGGATCTAACTGGGCGGCAAGGAGGATGAGAGAACCAGAGATTTAAAAAATCTCCTTGAAAGACATGAGAAGGCAAGTGGAGAACTGGGGGGTTGGCCAGAGCAGCAAGTGGCATCAAGGGAGGGCTCGGAGGCCTGGCTGAAATTAGTGGAAGCATTTTGCACCTGCGATGATGGAACCACAGTCAGGGTGTGCTGAGGCCCAAAGGCCAGCACCCAGGGTAGAGAGGGGTCAGGCAGGAAAGCAGGGAGGGGACCCAAGAGGGCCAGGCAGCAGACGAGGTCACCCCGGCAGTCAGATCTCAACTCTGTTGTAGAACCAATCAGACTTGCTTTGGATGTAGGTGAAACAGAAATAAAATAGTCAAAGACAACCCAAGACTTTTGGCTCGAGCTGCCGTTGACTGAGATGGGACTCGGGGCAGGGCCACGTGAACTGGTGGGGCAGGGGGTTGAGAGTCTAGTTTCGGGGTGTGGGATTGTCAATGTCCTTGAACATGAGTTGGGAATTGTATGTAGAGATCAGTGAGAACTCACTGAACAGACTGACCAACCCTCAGAGGCTTCCAGAAGCAGTGGCAGTGGAGGTGGGGGTGAGGGGGTGCCATGTGCAACCCAGAGAGCCCTCGCTCTGTTCATGCTGATGCTCTCTGGCCTCAAGGTCCTGCTTGGCCAAATCTAAAACTCTGAAAGATCTCCCTGTTATGAAACAGTGAACTTCTGGAGGTATCCTTGTAAATGCAGAGCCCCAGGCAAAGAGGAGGTCAGGTCCCCTGGTCCCCACAGTGCTCCCTGCTGTCACCCCCAAGAATGTCCAGCCAGAATGTGGGTTGGGGGGCTAGCATCCCCAGTCCCCAGTGACAGAATTTCCATTAGGATGGCAAAGAACTAACAATATACAGAAATGTCAGGGGACCAGGGGACACGCTGCCCCATGGGCCCTATCCACAGGACTTGATCCCTGGGGATGGTTGGAGTTAGCACAGTTGGGTATAAAACAAGATAGGATAAAAAGTACTGAGAGTGTGGAGTGTGCCGCAGAGGAGCTGCTCAGGACACCACAGAGCCGTCAGGTCATGGAAAACAAGGAGACTGAGGAGCTGTCCCAGATCAGACTGACTGAAGGCAGCAAGGGATCCTGGACCAGAAGAGGGACATCTGTGGACAAACCAACCAATGAAATTCCAAATAAAGTCTCCAGTTCAGCTCCTGGCAGTGTCCCAGCGTTGGTTTCTTAGTTGTGACAAATGCATAGTGGAGATGTTAAGATTTGAGGAAGTTTGGGTGAGGGCCTCCCCTGGAGCTCTCTAGACAATCTCTGCGATGGTTCTGCAAGTCTAAAATTATTCTCAAATAAAAAGCTTCTTAAAAAATATAAAAGGCACGAGAAACTGTCAAAAACCATGTTGGATGTTGTTAACTTTCCTGGGGTGCCATAACAAAGTACCACAAACTGGTGGGCTTAAAACAACAGAAGTTTACGCGCTCACAGTTCTGGAGACCAGAAGTCTGAAATGAAGGCACTTGTTCTGACAGCTCAAGGGGAGGATCCTTCCTTGGCCTCTTCCAGTTTTGGAGGGGACTCCAGATGTTCTTTGGCCTGTGGCTGCATCACCCCAGTCTTCATTTCCTGTCTTCACATGGTCTTGTCTTCTCTCTGGCTCTTTTGTCTTTAAGGACACTTGTCATTGGATTTAGACACATCCTAAGTTCAGTGTGATCTCATCCCAAATTCCTTCACTTAATCACATCTACAAAGACGCTTTTTCCAGATAAAGTCACATTCACAGTTCCAGAGATTAGGATGTGGATATATCCTGTTAGGGACCACCATTTAACCTATAGATGTCGTCACTAATGATTAGATACAGCTGAAAAGAGAAGCGGTAAATTGAAAGCTGTGAAGAAATGACCCAGAACGCAGCCTCAGTAGATGGAAAATATGACAGCTAGGACGGTAAGAATTGTCTGGCTGAGTTCTAATAGGAGACAGGCAAGGAGAGGCAATATGAGGAGACATAATGCTGAGAGATTTTTCTAGAAAGTGACAAGACACAAATTATAAGCAGGATAAATAAAAAGGCTTCTGAGCCCCAAACACATCACAGTGAAAATGTAAAACGGCCACAGAAAAGACATGACCTACGAAACAATGGGAGGCTTACAGCAGCAAGGGGAGCTGGAATACTGGAGTCAAACGTCACCTCAAGGGCTGAAAGGAAGTAACAAGCAACCGGGAACTCTGTACACAACTTTAAAAACAGTTACTTGAGGGAAAGCATCTCCACTGACTTACATGAGATCCTGGGGTTTGAGCTCCAGCAACAGAAAAGAAAAGAAAGGTAGGAAAGAAAAAGAAAGGATACCCACAGGAACAAAAACTAAGAATGTTTATTACCACCCACAGAGCTCCTCCAGGGGTATATTTCAGAAAACAGGAAAGTGACTCCAAGAAATAGATCAGCAAAGAAATGGGCACATATCTGGGTAAAAATTTTTTGGTTTATTTTTTAATTTTTGGTGTTTTTGTTTGGGTAAATTTTAAATGCATACTTTATGAGATTTTAAAAAATTAGAGCTGAAGTATTAAGTGTTATTAATTAATAATATTAACAGGATTGGTGGCTTTGCATCTTGCAAAAGGGTAGGGATTACCTTTGGGCTATATTAAGTATTAAGTACTCCCATTAACAATATTAGAGTGTAGAGGGGAGAATGGAACAAAAAATAGATGCAACAAAGTAAGTTCAGAAAAGGAAAGTTAGAAAAAGCAGAAGTAACGCAAAATAAGAGGGTAGAATCTCAAATATTAGGCATCCAAATAAACATACGTGGAATAATCATGACAGTTATGAGACTTTTTTTTTTTAATCCATCTCTACCCTGGTTAAAAGACTTCAACTCCAGGGTGCATAAAAGTTGCAGGTAAAAGGACAGGAAGAGAAATTCAGGTGCAGTTTTTGATCTGGAAGGATCCACACTATGCAGCCCTAAGCCCTGGCGGGACGAGACCACGGGAGGTAAAGTCCATTCTCCGTGCTCCTCATCGGGCAGCTCAGAAGCAGGAACAGATGCTCTTTTTTAAGCACAGGAACTTTGTCAGAATTGGAAAAAAAAAAAACACAAGGGAAACCTCAGTTGCTCAGACAGACCCGGGATCACGAAGACCATAGAGATGAAAATTCATTAGGTTTGAAAACAGTACGGAAGTGATGACTGAGAACCACTTTGAAGGAGCTCCGAGTGGAGAAACAAATCATACGGCAGCACCGGTGCCTCCCTCACCCCGGCGACCCCGGCGCTGGTTCTCTCTCCCAATCCCTCCTCTACTGGGTCCCTACTGGGCCTCTGTAGTGGCCCCAGCGCCCTGCTCGCGACCTCGGTCTGAAGCCCCATTGTCTTCGCAGGCTGCTGGGACCGTGGTCCATCAGGGGCCCTCCGCCCGCCGTGGGTTTGCTGACCTGCACAGCACACCCCACGGCACCGTACATCCACTTATGCCTCCGCTATGCTTTCAGCACCCCCCACCCCCATCCCGTATCTAAAGAGCTCTGGTCCGCAGCTGTAGTCTGGCTCTTGCTGCAGCACCAACGTGGACCAGGGGTCCTCGGTGATGCCTGCTCAGTGCCGGCGCACCTGCTCTCCTGGGGCTCTCCCTTCTCCTCGGACACCAACTGTCCTCACCATCGTCCACTCGCCTGATGACCTGGCCTCAAGAAAGCAAGAGTAGCCGGATAAGGACATCAGACTTCTTCAGCTGGCCGGCGGCTTTGGTCTCTCTCTGGGGCTGCCATCCTGGACCAGGGAACTCCACCCTCTTACCTGTTCAAAGACATTCTGATTAAGGAGCGAAATCCTCTCTTTGCCCTTCAGTGCCGGCCTGGCCAGGTTCTATCTCTCCCTTATAGCTCAGTGCCCCTTTCTCTCCCTTCTAGAATCGAGCCGGCTCTGAGTTCTCTCCACCTACACACACCTGAGACCACTCCTGTCTGCTCCACTGAGTGAGGCCTTCTTGGTGCTAATGCTGAGTGTCACTTCCTCTTTTTTTTTTAATACAAGTTTGAGATAGAATTCACACACCATGCAATTAGCCCATTTCCCGTGTATATTTCAGTGTTTTTAGACCATTCATAGACTTGTGCAACTATCACCACAGTTTGAGAACATTTTTGTCATTCCCCCAAAAGAAACGCCATGCCCACCCCAACCCCTTCTTATGCCGTCACCAGTCTGCCTTTGCTCCCCATTTCTTGACACCTCACTTGCTGGTGCCTTCCTGCTTCGTCTCTGGTCCTCGCCCCCTCCCAGGGCCCTTTCGCTTAATCCACTTTGACTTCCAAGTTTCTCTCCCAGCTCACGGTGCTCCCGAGTGCCGTCTCTGTCTCAGTGTCTGCTTGACAAACACAGCCCCTTCTAAAATACCCAAAAGCTGCCCCTTTCCCCATCCCAGACTGCCTTTCACGAATGTCTGTGCAATGGATGGCAACTCAGGGTAAAACTTTGTGAAACCCGAAGGAGTCCCCTCACCCCCACCTTCTCTCCCTCGCCTCCTCATCCTCAAGGAAACATCCAGAATCCACCCTCATCTCCTGCCCTCATCTCCCTCCACTTTGCACTCTTGTCCTGATTCTCCTTCCCTGCAGTGGTGCCCTGAGACTGAAAAATGCAAATCTGATGCTGCAGAAAGGCCATCTTGCCCGAGCTGAGGCCTCCTCCCTCCTCCAAATACTAACACTGTTTTGGATAGGGGAAGGGGCACTTTGAAGCTTGTTCAGAAAAACAAACCAGAATCACCGGGAAAGCTCTGATAAAAAGGCACTGGGCGGGCATACGGATCCTTGAAGGTATTAAACTTATGTAAAAGTATAGGAATTCAAACAAGGCGGGAACAGAGCTGGGCCATCAAACTTGAGCAAATAAGCATCCCCAGGAGGGAAGGAAGAACTGTCAGTGGGATGCTCGCTGGGTAACCTGGAGAAAAGAGCAAATTCGTGTCTTTATCTCGCATCAGCCCCCATTGCAAACATCGACATCTTTGATCCTTTGCGAAAGCTATGAAATGGAACAAGAGCTGAAACAAGAGACTGTGTCATCCAGCGATCAAACTATGAGAAGAATCGAGAGGCCAGGAGCCCCACCTCTGCTCTGTCTAAAGGACCAACAGGCAGAGCCAGAGATAGATGGGCGGTCCATGGAGGGCTTATCTCTAACTTCACAGATAAAGGTCGGCTGCGATGGCAGCAAGAGATAGCAGCAGCCCACGGAGAAGTGGGCCGAGGGAGAGACGCCATCTCCCAGGAAGGGGCATGTGTCGGCTCCAGCCCAAGGGAAGAGCAAATTAAAGCAACTGAGATCATCTTCCCTAGGAGAGTAGTTACGTTCTTATATGCAAGGGACTCTGAGCTAGAGTGCTCTGCAAACCAAAGGGATGCAGGGGACAGAAAAGCACATGTGATAGGGTCTGTGATACCATGGTAGATCCCCAGGAGCAGCTCGGGCAAACTGAGTTTTCTGTGCTTTCTGATGTCTAGATCCTGAGACTATATTACTGGCTCAAAAAGCTTAACACGTTTATATGTAAACTAGACCGTAGAACTCACTTCAGCAAAGAGACTGACCGACCATGTGCAAAGGCATGAAGACTTCCTGGGAGTGGGAACAGGAATGGCCAATGGCCAGGCCCACTAGGCTACAGTGAGATGCCTTCTTGGTACCAGCAGGCTGGCTAGTTAAATGGGAGCAACTCCGAGCAAGCGTTGGCAATACTGGCGAGGAGCAGGGGCAGGCCTGTCCTGTCTGGTGAGGTGGGCCTGGGCAGAAACCCCAGGGTGCAGGTCCCTTCTCAGTCGGAACTCCACAAACCTGCCACTAACACACGCAGAGCAGATGGAATTAAGGAGAGCAGCGGTGCACATGGGAGTGATCTGTCACATTTTTGGAAAACTGAGATGCAGGAGAAGACATCCTTATAGTCAGTTTGAAATATGCAAACCATGCATATTGTTTAGAAGTTAGGGGTCTTTCTCTGTGATCTTAAGCTGGACGCTTATTGTATTGATGAGCGTTTTAAAACATCACGTAACTTGTTTTAGGATATGGAAGCAAAGTATGGGCTGCAGCAGATTAAACAGAGAGCAGTGATGGAGAATCCCAGGGACTGGGAAGCCTTTCCTGGTAGGGCCGCTGGAGTTGGGGAGGAGACTGCCAAGTAAGGTTGCAGGGGCCTCTGGTCAGTCAGCCTCCGTGGGAGGAGAGGATAAAGTGCTGGTCCAGGTCCAGGTGGTGGGGTTAAGTCAGGCAGAAACTGGTAGGTGGCTTTTGCCCTCCAGTGGCCTAGGGGGGAGGAGGGGAGAGGAGAGTTTAATTGCGGGGAGGAGCAGGGACCACTTGCCCAGCAGGCAGACAGCCGGGCCTTGAGGGCTGGGAGGAAGGATAGAGGCGGGGCTGGGAAAAGGGATGTGGCGGACAAGGAGGGCGGGAAGGGGGTAGGGAGGCGCAATGCGGATCCGTGGGGTCCCCAGGCTAATCTGGGCCGGTTCTGGCTCGCAGGAAGCCTCTGAGGAACGGCCTGGTTAAGGACAAGCGCTTCTGAACCCCTCGACCCCGGCCCCGCCGCCCAGGACCCAGCCCCATCCAACTGCGCCCCCCGGGGACCGCCACGCTGCTCCCTCTCCTCGCGCCCCGGGACCCTGGCC